CCCAAAAATAAATAAATGTTGAAAAAAAAAATTTAAAAAATAAAAAAAAAAAAAAAGAAATTAATGATCAGATCTAGGAATACTGCAATGTTGAGAATTTCAACTCTCCAAGCAATATTTCATCTTTACTCACAAATATATGCAGAAAACAAGCTGATATTAAATATTTTTTTTATCTTATGACATTGGGATACTGCTTTATTAGTATTTTTTAAAGAATGAAGAGTCTTCATTTTCATTTAACTTTTTTCCAACATCAGCCATGAAAATAAATTATGAGGGACATATAGTTATACTTGTCGTTGATCATTCTTCCTTTTTCCATTCTCTTTCTCTTTGGCCAAGAAATGAAAGATAAGGCAATAATGGAGGAAATGGAAACATATCTGTCCATCCAGAGGATTTGGATTTTTATAGGCTATAAATCACCTCCATAAAAAATGTAAATTTCAGTGTCCTAATTGAAACATTCATCTCCAACGTAAAACTTTATAATATTAATTTTTATATCCTTCAAAAATAGCTATAACGTGGTTATTAATTTCTACGGAAAGAGAAAAATGTATGGAACATACAATGGACAACTCATAAAGTGACGTATCGCATGGCAAAAAATGTTACAGTTACTGAATGTTAAAACTATATTTGTTGTGCCTTTCCAGAATCTAGTAGAACTGTGCTGGATGAAGAGGTTGAAGGGGAGCACAATCTTTCACCCCAAAATATGCATCTTTGGCATATTACGTAGGGGCCAAGGGCAGCCCCCCCCATATGCCATTTTGTAATAAAGACAATTGTGATGAATGCCAACAGGCTCCTTCAGTGACCCGCCTCGAAACGGCCGTAGGCCCTAACCAAATACAACCAGGCACAGTTCCTAGGATTACAAAAAAAGGGAGAGCTCCATCCAACCCCACACTCCCTCGCTCCACCCTATAACTGTGGCCCCTCGCCACCTTCTCTTGCGGTGTATACAGTAAACTTTTATGTCTTTTGTTCTGCCCTGGGTGAATTCTTTCCCCGCCACCCAGAGAGCTCCACAGAAAAGCTCTTTAACCTTCCTGACAACTGCCTAAAGGCATTTAGATAGAGGACCTGCCTCAGGAAGACAGCTATCACTGCAGATAACTACATTATTTTAAAAATATATTTATTGGGGCGCCTGGGTGGCTCAGTCGGTTAAGCGTCCCACTTCAACGCAGGTCACGATCTCGCGGTCCGTGAGTTCAAGCCCCGCGTCGGGCTCCGTGCTGACGGCTCAGAGCCTGGAGCCTGCTTCGGATTCTGTGTCTCCCTCTCTCTTCTCCCCTCCCCGTTCATGCTCTGTTTCTCTCTGTCTCAAAAATAAACGTTAAAAAAATTAAAAATATATATATATTTATTTTGAGAGAGAGAGAGAAAACGCGTGAGCCCCAAGCAGGGTAGGAGCAGAGAGAGAGAGAGAGAGAGAGAGAGAGAGAATCCCAAGCAGGCCCCACACTGTCAGTTCATAGCCTGACCCTTGGCTCGAACCCACAAACTCCGAGATCATGACCCGAGCTGAAATCGAGAGTCAGATGCCAAACTAACTGAGCCACCCCGGCGCCCCGATAACTACATTATGATATGCACTTAGGTAGGGCAGATGAAGAGGAGCCTAGTAAAGCTTGTTTGATCAAAGTCCTCTATGTCCCATTGTTTCTGGGTGGCCCAGCAAATAAATATTCCTTTACCAGGATTTATTTTTTATCATCTCCCCGTGAATCGCAATCCTTCCCTTTGAAGTCCCAGACCCCTACCAACTTCTCCTTAGTTCAGGATGACATATATACCTCATTTTGCCTGACTACCCTTGGAATTTCCATGTCTGTGTGGATCCCACATACATATAAAATTAAATTTCATTTTCTTCTGTTAATCCGTCTCATGTCAATTTGATTCTTCCTCTGGCTAGAAGGACCCTGAAGGGAAGAGGACATTCTTACTCCCAGACCATTATTTTGAGTTGGTTATTTTTAAGAAACAGCAGATCTAGGAAATGGCTAGTAAAAGTTACCCTCGTGTAAGGGCTTTTAAGGGGAAATCTCTACTTGTGTGTCTCCCTCTTTGTATCAGAAATACAAGGATGACTCTAAGTCTTAATATTGTTTGCCATGCTTTTTCGCTCCCCACCACCACTATCTTTCTTTTACCTTGAGCTGGAGATGCTATTTAAGGTCAGTAGCTTGGGCATTTCAGCCACTTGCTCCGTTTTCCTGGGTATCTCCCGTGCATGTTATTGTATGTGTTTATTTTCCTCCTGTTTGTCTGTTTTTTAATTTTTAAATTTTTATTTATTTGTTTATTTATTTGAGAGAGAGAGAGAGAGAGAGAGAGAGCAAGGGAGAGGGGCAGAGGGACAGAGAGAGAATTTTAAGCAAACTCCACGTTCAGCATGGAGCCCAGCCCGGGGCTCAGGCCCATGACCCTGGGATCACGACCTGAGCTGAAATCAAGAGTCAGGCACTCAACCGAATGAGCCCCCCAGGCACCCCAATCTGGTTTCTTATTACAAGAACGTCTCAGTCAAGAACCTGGAAGGCTAGAGGGGAAAGTTTTGTCTTCTCCACTCCACAGCCTCAGTTTCAAAGGTGTAAAATGGGGATCATGGCAGTACCTCCCTAAATAGTTGTTTTAGGTTTTAAGTGAGAAAATGAAGCATTTAGCTTAATGTCTTAGCTTACGATGAGTGCTTCGTCACTGCTAACTGGGTGAAGAAATGAATGCATGTGTGAGAACTACGGAATGCTGAGAGGAGTGAGACGGTACTTTTGAGAAGTGACATCTAGTTTGAAAGACAGAAAGGCACACGTTGCAAATAAGTGCTTATAGATGGTAAAAACTGCAAAATGATTGAGGACTAACCAACACAGATGGTACAACATGACAATCTACGCAGACGGCCGACCTTGTAAATATCAGCAGAATAACATGGAGGCGGAGCACCAGGGACAAACAAAAGATCTCGTCTAAACGAGGCATTTATTGGGCCAAGTGAAGGATTCCTCAGGGTTGTACAGAGGAAGAAACACAAATGTCCCTCTACTCTTCTAGACACCCCCCCCCCACGGGGGAGGAGAGATGAATAGGAGAATAACAAATTTAATTTAATTTTATACATACAGAGGCCCCAAAGATATGAGACCCAGTCGGTCAGGCAATTGAGGCTTACATGCAGTCCTGGACTGTGGAGAAGAGGGTAGTGGTTTGGGACATCCAATGGGATGAAGACAATTCACGGGCAGAGAGGCAGAGAAAGTGTCCTATGTAAAAAACAAAAAACAAACAAACAAAAAAAACACGTTACTTTTGGTAATAGCTCTCTTTCTGGTACAGGTTCCCCATCTAAAAATTTTTAGGCAGTTGAGGGGGAGGTAAAGCTCTTCTTGAGTCTGGGGCCTTTATCGTCTTCAGCTCTAAACAACCCACATGCCAAAGTGGCACGTTTTGGGGTAAACTGCCCCGAACCCCATCAGTTCTCTCCTCTGAAACTTCCCTGAGAGTTTCACATATTAAAAGCTGAGCTGATGGCTGTGGTGAGCAGAATCGGGTTAGTAGCTAAGCAGTAGATTGCTCTATATCTCTGAGAACAGTTGTGACTCATTTCAGAAGGCATTAGTGCAATTGAGCTCCCAAAGTTAGGCCTATATTGCACAAGCAATCGGGTATTTAGAAAGAGGCATTTCTATGGCAACGAAAGCAATGGTTAATGATCGGAGCAGACTACCATCTCAGTTTCTGAGTTTCGAAGGCAGCCAGTGGAGAAGAGTTGTCGATGTCCAGCTCAAAGCGTCTTCAGATGGAGCGAGGGCTGGCGGTGGCAATTTGACAGATTTTCCCGGTTTGTAGTTTGAATGTCTCTGGTGATCTTTGTGAGTGGCCCATACAGCAACACGCATGGAGACGGTCTATACCTGAGCTCTTGCGATTTCTCTGACGTTGAGATCACGTTGTCTAACTAGCTTGCATGGCTTTGGAGAAAGTGTAGTTTTAGTTCCCGATAATTTCAACTTAGAAAGGGTGGGAGAAAACTTGGACATGTTGGTTTGGAGAGTCGTAGCCAAACACTAGAGGAAACGAAAAGAATTCAGGATCTAGTCCAGTCTGCAGGTAGAAAGCAAAATTTCAAAGACAATGAACAAAACTAGAATCTAAAATCCACAAGTACATGTTATACTTTCTAATGAAATATAATCTTTCTCTCTACAATCATCCACATTTCTTATCAGTGATAAGCATAGTAAGACTAATTTGTTTGCAAATTAAGTCTGGTTTTCTGAACTTGGCTCGATTATTTACATAATTGCAGCAAAATAGCAATTGACATAGAATCTTTTAATCTACTTTACTGGAACTTTCCACACGGAATTTCAGGTTGGACTTTTTTTTTTTTTTTAATTCTATTTTAAGGAGAGAGGAAAAGCAGAGGAGAGGGGCAGAGGGAGAGAGAGAGAATCTTAAGCAGGCTCTATGCTCGGTGCAGAGCCTGACATGGGGCTCGATCCCACAACCCTGGGATCATGACCTGAGCCCAAATCGAGTCGGACACTCAACCGACTGAGCCACCCAGGTGCCCCTCAGGTTGGACTTCTAAAAGCCTCTCGAGGCTAAGAAGCCAAGCCAAGGACTTGCCATTAGACTTGCCTATAATATCTATAGATGTGGGAAAATGCCTCTCTCCTTGAAGTCCCCCAAACACCCTGAGGTTCCTGGGCCAGCCAGAAAGCGGCCTTCCTTAATCACTTGGTAAGGCTGCTGGGAACCCTGTAAGCAAGGTACTGGGCCAATATTTCCAAGGAGCTTTATTGGTTCCATAAAATCAACTCTAGTTCCTTAAAGCTGTGTGGCGTACCTGAATGTGTGCATGCCTCTCTCAAATATGACATTCCAGTTGAAGTCTTCATAATATAACCAAAGTTTCCAGGCATGTCCTATTACAAGAAGAAGAGATTCTTACTGAATTTATGAAATAACTGTACTGCCATGAAAATATAAAAATATTCATTGAGAGTTTGTAAATTCTGGAGGGATCAGATAGGGAGAAAAAGATAAATGTTTTATCTTTACTCTAAGTTACAAGTAGCTTAAGAGAAAAGAAAAAAAGTTTTCCTTAAATCTGGAAAGCAAACCATTAAAAAGCCCAGCAATGTTGGGGGCACCTCAGTTGGTCAAGTCTCTGACTTGGGATTTTGGCTTAGGTCATGATCCCACGGCTCATGAGTTTGAGCCCCAAGTTGGGCTCAGCACTGACAGTGTGGAGCCTGCTTGGGATCATCTCTCTCTCCCTTGTTTTCTGCCCCTCCCCCCCCGCCCCCACACTCATGCACACGTGTGTGAGTGTGTGTGTGTGTGTGTGCTCTCTCTCTTTCTCTCTCTCTCTCAAAATAAATAAATAAACCTTAGGGGTGCCTGGGTGACTCAGTCAGTTAAGCGTCTGACTTCAGCTTAGGCCACGATCTTATGGTTCGTGAGTTCGAGCCCCTCATTGGGTTCTGTGCTGACAGTGCTGAGCCTGCCTGGGATTCTCTGTCTCTCTCTCCCTCTCCCCAAATAAATAAATAAGTAAACTTAAAAACAAACAAACAAACAAATAAAATAAAATAAAAAAGCTTTTTAAAAAAGCCCAGCAATGTTTTAAATAAAAAGTCATAAAAATTATAATCATCCTCAGTTCCGTGTAATTAATTCTGGTTGATCCTGATCTTCTGTTAGAAGTTCTACGGAGGCATCAGTTTCTCCTTTAGGGTTCTATAAATTCTTACTCAGTTCAGTAGTATGATCTAAAAGTTATCAGGAACTTGTATTCTACCTTGCCTGTTATATTCCTTTCCATGAATTTCTCTGTAAATGAAACACATTTGCAGGAAGCTTTTATAAAAGCATCTTAGCTAAACAATATCTATAAATGACAAAAGACTTGAAATGGCCGTGATTAAAGATTTGGTAAGAGCTCATTACAACGTAACTGATAAGGAAATTTGGCTGTTTCTGTGACACACAATATTTTAAGATAATAATTAGCATTATGACTAATAACAATATACCAGGACATGTCAGAATTTTATGAATCTTATACAATTTTTAGAACAGTATTAATAACATTCACCCATACCATATAACCTAGGAAGCTTTATCACCACTTACTAACAGCACTTCCCATGTAATTTAATATGTCACGTAAGTCTAATTAGGGTAACATCTCTCTTTTTACAAGGACAGAGACGAATCCTTTGAGGCGTCCCAGGGACCCTCTGATATTTCCCAAAGTTAGTTTGAGGTCAAAGACTTTAAAATTTGATTTTGCGGAAGTTTGTCAAATACATCAAAAAGTGTTTAAAACATTTCGCTAAATAAGATCGAAACAATACTTCGTTATCTATTTAACCAAAGCGACAAAGACTTCACAGGCAAATATAGAAGACTACATAATTCTAAGCAAAACTTAGCTCTTTTAATATTAAGAGGACTAGGTTTACTTTAGTAATCAAAGACCTGGTAAACACAGGAAATTATTTTGGCAAAATATAGAATCCTTGTTTTCTAGGCAGATTAGTATAAAAGGTAAAGGAAAACCTTTCATAATCTCTTATCAGAGGCAGACCAATAGTCCAAACAACTTTGTCCTTTTAGCAGATGAAAGAAAATTAAGTTCCAGTTTTACGCGAGTACATTATTGATATTAAAGCTTATTTTTAAAACCCTTACAACAAATTCATTCAATTTCATCCAGCTTAATCACACGTAAAATTTCTTTCCCAAGATTCCTTTCTCAAAAACCTTCTATAAGTTCCTGTGTCTATTCTAGTTTGTGCCTTGTTTTATTTCCTATTCAGAAATAATCAGCTTTACTTTAGAACAAAATTACTTTCTTTTCCCTCAACAAAAATGCATCCTCATTCCTCACCATCTTTCTTACCAAAAACATACATCCCACTTACCTTGTATACAGAGTTGTTTCTCTTATTATTTCTAGTAGCTTGAGTTAAATATATTAATTAGAATTTTTAACCCTTAGAGGGGTACCTGGCTGGCTCAGTTGGTGGAACATGCAATTCTTGACCTCGGGGTTGTGAGTTTGAGCTCCACACTGAGTGTAGAGATTACTTAAAATAAAATCTTTAAAGAAAAAGAACGTTTATCCCTTAGAAACTTTAATTTGTGGTCTGTTATTCCAGTATTCTTTAGATTGGCAAATTTATGAATACATTTCATAATTTCTAGAAACATTCATTTCCTCACAGTTCATTTTTTAAAATGTGGGCCAAAAAAGTGGACATTTTTACCAATAAAGCCAAATATCTTTAGTTCTTTTGTAAAAAGAGGCCAAAGGTAGGTAAACTTACACTTCCTTAGCCTTAATTTTTCAGTGTATTATCGTATTTGGAAATGATCTAGACATTAACGCAATTCTATCATTTGGTTTAAGTTAATAAAACTCAACAGTGGAAGTCACGGGGGAGATTTGGGTAACTATTTTGAAGTAGACATAACATAAAATATCACTGCTAAAAAAAATCACCTAAAAACTCTTATGTCATTTACATCTTTTGTTCTTTTCTTCTTTTGAAATTTTTATTGAAATTCTAATTAACATACAATGCAATATTGGTTTCAGGAATAGAATTCAGTGATTCATCACTTACACACAACACCCGGTGCTCATCCCAACAAGCGCCCTCCTTAGTGCCCGTCACCCATCTAGCCCATCCCCCACCCACACCGCTCCATCAACCCTCAGTTTGTTCTCTATCTTTAAGAGTCTCTTGTGGTTTGTTTACCTCTCTCTTTTTCCCCTTCTTCCCATTTGTTCATCTGTTTTGTTTCTTAAATTCCACATATGAGTGAAATCATAGGATGTTTGTCTTTCTCTGCCTAACTTATTTCACTTAGCATAATACACTCAATTTCCATCCACGTTGTGGCAAATGGCAGAATTTCATTCTTTTTGATGCCTGAGCAATATTCCACTGTACATATATGCCACATCTTCTTTATCCATCCATCAGTCAATGGACATTTGGGTTCTCTCCATAGTTTGGCTATTGTTGATAGTGCTGCTACAAACATCGGGGTGCATGCACCTCTTCAATTCTGTATTTTTGTATTTTGGGGTAAATACCTAGTACTGCAATTGCTGGATCATAGGGTAGTTGTATTTTTAGTTTTTTGAGGAACCTCCATACTATTCTCCAGAGTGGCTGCACCAGTTTGCATTCCCACCCATAGTACAAGAGGGTTTCCCTTTCTCTGCATCCTCACCAACACCTGTTGTTTCTTGTGTTGTTAATTCTAGCCATTCTGACAGGTGTGACTTGATATCTCATTGTGGTTTTGGGTTGTATTTCCCTGACGATGAGCGATATGGAGCATCTTTTCATGTGTCCGTTAGCCATCTGGATGTCTTCTTTGGAAACTGTCTATTCATGTCTTCTGCCCATTTCTTCACTGGATTATTTGCTTACTGGGTGTTGAGTTTGCTAAGTTCTTTATAGATTTTGGATACTAACCCTTTATCTGATATGTCATTTGCAAATATCTTTTCCCATTCCATAGGTTGCCTTTTAGTTTTGTGGATTGTTTCCTTTGCAGTGCAGAAGGTTTTTATCTTGATGAGGTCCCAATAGTTCATTTTTGCTTTTGTTTCTGTTGCCTCTGGCAACATGTCTAGTAAGAAGTTGCTATAGCAGAGGTCAAAGAGGTTGCTGCCTGTGTTCCCCTCTAGGATTCTGATGGATTCCTGTCCCACATTTAGGTCTTTCATCCATTTTAATTCATTTGTTCTCAACAACCATGTTTAGATAAGTTACAAAAAACTTTGTTATATATTAGACAGTGTCAGTCATCACCCCAAGTTATTTTTCTGGTTGACAAATATTTAACAGAGATTTCATAAACTTGTTTGATTAGTAAACCCATGTGGAATAGAAGCTTTATACTTAATGCCGATAACCCTAAAGACATGCTTGTTCTAATCAAACCAACAATCTTCAACTTTTATTTGCCAAAAATTATTCTAGATTATATGAACTTGAAAAACATTTGGTTTAGTTCCTATTTCTGAGACTTTTTGCAATAATTTGCAAGTGCTTATTCTTAAGTCAATTGAATGGAGCTCTTTTACAAATTAATATTGCCAATACCATATCTATAGCATATATACACAGACATATATACAGACAAACGCATCTTATACCTTCCGTTTTAAAATAACATAAAACTCACTAGTTAATAAGTAACAGCTACAATAAGTTAAGTTTATCTGTTCAGATGGCTAAAGCTTTTTACTATTTGTGCAGAAGACTTTTAAGATTTGCATTTGTCCCTGGAAGTAATGTTAAAAGTTTGCGGTCTAGGGGCGCCTGGGTGGCTCACTCGGTTGGGCGTCCGACTTCGGCTCAGGTCTTGATCTCACAGTTCGTGGGTTTGAGCCCCGCGTCGGGCTCTGGGCTGACAGGTCAGAGCCTGGACCCTGCTTGGGATCCTGTGTCTCCTTCTCTCTCTGCTCCTACCCCACTCACGCTGTCTCTCTCTGTCTCTCAAAAATGAATAAACGTTAAAAAAAAAAAAAAAAGGTTCTGGTCTAGAGTATGGGCAAGGGGGCCCTTTTAGCAGTTTGTATTTTTTTTGAAAGGCCTCTTTATCTTATTTTTCCCTTCATTCTCAGAAGTTTGTGGGCTATGTTTGTATTTCAAAGACATGATGATTTACAAGTTCAAGAACAGAAAAAGAATGCAAGTTTTTCCTCAGACTTTTGGGGTACATTTGTCTATTATCAGAAGTTTAGGAAAAAAAAGTTTAGGATAAGTATTATTTAAAGTTTTCTTTCTTTTTCTTAAGTGCAAGACAATTTTGTTTCCAGTATCCTGATGTCTTACAAGATCTTGCAAATATGTGAAAGCAAATAGGAAAGGGTCTGAGTGGGTTTCGTGTTGCTTTCAGAGTTACGCTTTTGTTTTTCTAGAGTCAAGTTGTAAATTAAGAATGGTTGAATTTAATATAACTATGTTAGCTGTACTGGAATTAAAACAAAACAAAAGAATTGTTGGTTGTAAGTCTTTTTCGTGTGCATTCCTGCCACCCTTCTGTAAAGAATTAGGTAGCCTTTTTCATTATTATGCTTAGAGATCAATTTGCGCATTCAAGCACACTACTTTGAATTTGCCTTTCTATATCAGGGAGAAAGACCCTATGATGGAAATGGAAAGATTTCTACGTTCTGCCGTCCAGGCACATGAATTCTTTAGCTGGAGGTCTAGGACCTGCCAAGGACGCCGCCCAGGAAGACCTGAAGCTGGCAAAGTCTGACATCCCAGGTGCTTCTGCAAAATTTACTTCCTGGCTTTTAGCATTTACACAAGTAATCTGTATACCCCAGGCCTGGAGATTAGAGGGGAGTGCTCTCTGTAAATCTTGGCGTTAAAGGCAAGTTAAACTAGGCAGCTGGGTGTTTCAGGGATTTTCTGGGGAAGGTGGAGGAATTTGGGGAGTTAAGGGAATTTGCTGAAGAGTAGGGGCCAGATTTTAAGAAAGGGAATTTATGTTGGACATAGACTTTACTTTTGTTCTATGTTTAATTCCTGTTCTTTCATTTATTTTGTTTTTTGTAGCCACCTTTTAATTGTCAATAAAACAATTGTTAATTGTTTAATTGTCAATAAGACAATCGTTTAGGATGACAGTGGTCTAACTTTCTTTTTCTTTTTCTTTTTCTTTTTTGACAGTTAAAGAATAATTTTATTCCTATTACGGCATCTTGCATCATTATAAATTATTATAAAGATAAACTAAAATAGTGATCAGTTACTTTCTTTTTCTTTAAATACAGAAGTTTTGGGGCACCCGGTGGCTCAGATGGTTAAGCATCCAGACTCGATTTCGGCTCAGGTCACAGTCATGAGTTCAAGCCCCGTGGTGGGCTCTGTGCTCACAGTGCAGAGCCTGCTTGGGATTCTCTCTCTTTACCTCTCTTCCTCCCCCTTATCCTCAATCTCTCTTTAAAAATTAAATATAAGTAAACTTTAAGAAATATATTTAGTTTTTCCAATTCAAAGGAGCCATCGTCAGGCCAGCGATGAGTAGGATCCATTAATCTCAATAGCCACTCAAGTCAATAAGCCTTTTTATGGCTTAACCAAGGACACAAGAGGCATCGCACAAAGAGTGCAAAAAATGCAGCCATCACAAGATCCAGAAAGTCTACTCCCACAGTTAGTCTCAGAAAGCAAAGGCCTTCATTGTCACAGGGGGTAAGAATTGTGTAGTGAAAATGATGTCTCCCATTTCTCACGGGAACATGAGACACTTCCAATCATGGACCCGCCAATCTGTGACATGGGGCAGCCACTCCTAGAATGGGACCTTTCCAGTACTAACAAGACAACAGAGATTGAGATGACGAAGTCCCTTCATGCACTGGGTCCCCTTATGACAAACTCCCCTGAGAGCTGGCACAGCCAGACAAAAAGAACACTGGCTTGTGACATCGTGTCTCAAAATTCTAGTTGACCGGCCACCAGATGCTCTCACATATATGCACCTTTCAGACGGTAGAGGCTACAGAGAATATTCTTCCTGCTCACAATGCCAAGCTCTCAGAACACTGAACAAGACAAAAGCAAAACCTCATGGTTTTCCTTCTTAGGACAAACACAAAAGACAGGCCAATATCTATATATCTATATATCTATATATCTATATCTATATCTATATCTATATCTATATCTATCTATATATCTATATCTATATAAAACCATCTGTGGGAGTAAGAGGATCAATAGAAAACAGCAGTACTCAGTAACGAATCTTTAGGAAAGTTGCTATACCCAAAGAACTAATTCCACAAATCCTTTCTCCTGCTCATCTAAATGTAGAAAAAGAAGGGACAAAAACTTTTTACCTTCCTCTCTCCTGGGCATAGAAAGAAATCCAGGAGAGCTGACTTTGGTAAGAATTCTTACCTTCTGCTGGCTTCTGTCAGTTTTCTAGAATCTTGTCTGCAGGCTGCACAGTGAGTACGGTGTTTCGGTATCTCCCGGCTGGCTCACAGAACTGTAGGGTAAACAGATAAATTTCCTTCGAAGTTCTTGGCTAGACGTCCCCCGTAATAAAAGAGAGATTAACAAGAAAAAACATATTTAATGAATTTTCATATGCTCCAAAGATATGAGACCCACTGACAGTCTGGCATTTGAGGCTTCTATGCAGTATTGAGCTAAGAAGAAGGTAGAGAGAATGTTCGGTAAATAAATCTTTGCCAGGCTCCAAGGGGAGGGCTTTCTTTATCTTTATTTTTAAAAAATATTTATTTATGTATTTATTTTTAATTTTTGTTTGATCTTTACTTTTGAGAGAGAGAGACAGAGACAGAGAGAGACAGAGCATGAGTGGGGGGAGGGGCAGAGAGCGTAGGAGACCCAGAACCCGAAGTGGGCTCCAGGCTCGGAGCTGTCAGCACAGAGCAGATGGGGGGGGGGGGGGCTCAAACTCATGAACCCCGTGAGATCGTGACATGGGCTTAAGTCCAATGCTTAACTGATTGAGCCACCCAGGTGCCCCCAGAGAGGTCTTTCTGACGTAAAACAAAATTATCTGTGGTGATGGCTCTCTTCTCAGAACAGGCCCCCCATCTAAATAACCTGTTATTATGGAAAGCCATCATTTGGAATGTCCAAGAGAGTACCTGGATTCAAACTATCCTGTAGCAAGCACAAGTTTTGTACCTCATTCATCCAAATATTCTACTTGGTTTCAAGTCAAGTGAGGAGAGTGGTTGATCATGGATGGAACTGTCCCCCAACCTTTCCGTTCACAAGGACACAACCACGATGACAGTAAAAAGTTCTCCACATGCCCGGGCCTTTCAAAATTTCTAGATTACTTTCACTGATTATCTCTAAGTTTTCACCACAGTCCCCCACAATTAAAACATTTCCCCCACTGTAGATCCACAGGAACTGAGATACAAAGAAGGGCAGTGAGATCCAGAAAATGGCACATAGAGAACCCACCCCTCTGGCCTCCAAGGATGAATTGGGAACTATTTCTCTCTTAAACCTGAGCAGCCCATGGAAATCTCTGGACTTTGCTGTCTTCTCTACTCGATTAGGAATTTCTTACAGTGGAGAAGCTCGTCTTATCCATTTCTATGTTCCCAGTGTGGGCCTGCCACAGAATGGATACTCAAAAAATATTTAATGAATGCATCAAATGTCTAATAAATAAACAAAAGGGTGAACAAATGAACAAATGAATGAATAAATGAATGACTGAATAGACAAACTAACCTGGATCTCCCAACGCTTTTGATAAACTGTGTCTCGATGAATGACAATCAAACATAAAAATTATCTGTGCACTCTTCTCTTGCTCTTTCGTTTTCTCTCTCCCCCCTACTCACACTCACACACACACACACACACACACACACACACACACACACACACACATGAGTGACTTTTAATTTGAAAGAACTTAAGAAAAAAGAAGACTGATTGTACAGAAACTTTCATACTGGGAACCGAAACTTGATGGAGACCAAAATCGGAGAATAGCAGATTCTACTTTTAGCTGTAACAGAACAGAGATCAGGGCCTGTGATAATAAATTTGTATTTTCAGGAGCTATATTTTATAGACAGGCACTAAAATTTACTCCTTAAAAGTCATCCATATATCAATCACTTTAGGAGTAGTAAAATAAATGCATATCCATCCAGGAAACGGGGCATTTCACTTGCATGGATATTATAGGTATAAGATACAGTTAGCCAAACATCTCTTTCTTCAAGTTCCAATTGTATGTTTGGATGTGCCTTGGGTGATGGATGGCCCTTCTGTGCAATAAACAAGAAACAGGCTTTAGTAACTTTGTGCACTGTCTATAGCAGACCAGGGAGAGCTGTGCTAACGGTTGCCAGTTTGGGAACAGGCCCATATCCTCTAGGATAGAAGTACAACGGCTGTGAGATATTCAGGTGTCCGTTTCCTGCAGTTAAAAATGGACAAGGAAAGCAGATGAATGTCAGCAAACACAAAACCACAACGAAACAAAAATAAAAACGTAAACTTGGTTCACTTTTCTAAGCCACAGGGGCATGTGTGATGGAAGGCCATGTTTGTGACATTCTAGCCCCTGGATTTAACTCTCCAGTCCTGTCCTTTCCTTATCCAGTGTTGTCTCCCTTACCCTTCAACAGAGTGTTATGCAACTTAGTTGCTTTTTCTTCCCTTCAAAATAACGCTGAATTTTGATTTATAATTCCGGAATGTCGTGACGCTGAATATTATAAAACAACCAGTGGCTTTCACAACAAAGCCCACATTTTTAACCAGGCAGCGGCTGCTGGAGTAATGAGTCCCATAACTTGCCATACATTTACAATAGTTAGCAACATTTTTGCCACATTGGATTTATCTAGATACGCACACGCGTGAGTGGATATTTGTGTACATGTGTGCTTTTTTCTTTGAACCGTTTGGAATTAAGTCCCAAGAGTCATGACTCTTCGTCCCTAAAATTTCAGCATGCCTCTTCTAAAATTAAAAACATTTTCCAAGATAGCACAACACCATTATCACCCTAAGAAAATCAATAATTTCTGCATCTCTTCTAAC